TCCTGACCCAGACGAAAGCCAGCCTGCTGTCCCTGCATCCCAGCCCGCAGCTGCTCATTGCTTTCGCTTTTCCAAGATCTTTTAAAACATCTAAACTGACCTGCATCTAGTATTTCTGCTTTCCCCACCACACAGACACCAAGGTACCTCCTGTCCAGGCCCAGCCTGCATCAAGAGGCCAGACCACCCATCTGATGGTGGAGGCCAACTGCCACAGCCTGCAGTCCCTGCCTCCAAGCAGAGCTTGGAGCTGAAGGGAAGGAACCCATTGCAAATGGGGCAAACCACCATGTCCTGGGCTGCGGCAGGAGGACTTGCCTGGCTTGGTTGAACCTTGGGGGCATTAAGAGCAGCCTGCAGCTGCCTGGAAGGAGGTACAAACACAACGGAACCAAACGCCTCTTGGTGTGGGGATGGGGCACAGTGAAGGGGGGCTCCATATTTCCAAGACTTGGTCAGAAAAAGCCTCGCTGCCCTGGGCTAGCACCGGGGACGGTCCTGCTCCAGAGGGCCCCTTCCCACCAGCACTCCTATGTGAGCCATGTTAGGCTAAGGCTAGCCCAAAGAGGTCAACACCCAACGGCTACCAAGGGATTATCAAGTGCCAGAGCCCTGGAAGAAGCAAGCACAGATCTTACCGTGAGCTCAACACTGTGTCCTGAGAGGTAGGTGAGGAGATAGGGGGTCACTGGCAGACATGCCTCAGCCACAGCAGGGTCACTGGAGTGGGAGAGCTCGTGGAGACAGCGGGCTGCCTCCATCTGCATGTCAGCCAGGCTGCTGGTGAAGAGCCCGATGAGTGTCCGGATGCTGCCATCCAGCCTGGTGGAACCCAAAGGGTGCTGTCACCTCCTGCCTGCCCACCCTTGGCCACACACCAGCTCGCCCACACAATGGCTGGGACAAGGGGCCACTCTGGACATGCCCTCAGTAACAGCCATGCAGTGCCAGACACAGGCTGACCTGACCAACTTCTGCTGAGTCTCCTTGTTCTGCAGAGCCCGGCGGAGGCGGCTGAGTGACCTTTTCCTGTCCTCCGAACCCCTCTGCACGCCTCTGAGCAGCTCAAGAACCTAGCCAAAAATTAAAAGATGGTTGAGTGTCAAGTAGTGCCAGGGTCAGGACTTCATCCTATTCATCCTGGAGGCAAAGAAACCCAGGGCACAAAGACGGAAACAGGGTTTCTCACTATGTGTGGCAGTGACTCAGAAAAGGTTACCAAACCCACCCCCACCCATGCCCCTCCGCATGCCTGGAGGCTGGAGGAGACCCCGGGGACCCTCATCACCACGCAGAACGCCATGCTCTTCACCTCATCCTCTGAGAGAGGGTCCGGCACCATCCCTGCTCCATCCTGTCCGCCCTCCTCTGCCGTGGTGTCGTCCCGCAGCAGCCGCTTGCTGACCAGCTGCTCCTGCCGCCGGGCTTTCCTGAGAGCTGTGATCGAATTGCTCACCGTCACCGCCTGCCCGGGTCAAGGCGCTTCTCCGTCCCACCGCCGAGCCTCATCCCTTTCAAGAGGGAGAAACTGCCAGCTCCCCTC